GATCGAACGGCATGGCTCGGCCATGCAGGCGTGGTTCCTGCTGAATGTTATCTTATTTCTTCTATTCATATTAAATATATTGTTCTTTCTCTAGCCTCACCTTGTTCTACATCATCTATTGGTAACTGATACGATACAGTGAGTTGGCGTAGACAATGATGTGACTTCCACGTAAGATCTTATATGTTAGGTAGTTATCTCATGACGAATCTACAATTTTAGGATTACGACTATTATTAGAGCAGCACTAATATTATAGTAGACCATAGTTCTACATATCTCTTGATAACTATTTTCTATATAGAAGCGATAGATTGAATGGACGAGGCGGAGGATGCCTTATTTACGCTCACCCTAGCTAAACTCACTGCTATGTGATATGCCTGAACTAAACAAACTGAAGGATTCGGTATGGAGTGTATTAAAGCCGTCGAATTCCGTTACCTTACTGCGCGGCTGTGTTTGTCGTCAACCTAACGCATCAACAGATGAAATAGCAGTATTATCGGAGGTAATCACACTAGCATCATTCCTCTCATTCACAGGCAAGCTCATTTGTGGTGACTTCAATATGCCTGAAATTTCTTGGCTGCCAGTCAAAGCGCCGAGACGTTATGAATCATTTATTGAATGTCTAGACCTTGGACAATGGACTCAGTATGTCGATAGCCCTACCAGACATCAAAACATCTTGGACTTAGTCTTTACCAGTGGCCTCATCCCCAATACTTTGTATATTGGAAAAAAGTTTCCAGGTAGTGATCATAATATTGCATATGCAGCCTTGATGTAAAAACCACAACCGGTAGAAGTAAAGCTGTAACACTTCGTAGGAACTATCGCAAGGTTGATTGAAATAACTTCCACAATTACCTAAGAAGCACTGATTGGAGAACTTTCTTTACCTCAAACAATACCGACACATTAACCAATACATTTTATCACAACATCGCACCTTTAGAATACTATAAACCTGCGTTCTCCAAAGATCTCTATATACCGGTCAGTACAAGAAGACGTCTTCAAAGACATTGTACTCGATTCCACAACTTAAATGACTTTCCCTCTTTAGTAACGATGACAGAAATACTTGTTCGAACAAAGGCAATAAGTACACAAAAAGCAGTCGCACAGGAAAAACGTGCATTTGAACTTAATAATAACCCCTCTGCACTCACCATACTCCTCCGAAGTAAACTTAAACGTTCTAAATCGAGAGGTAGTATATTTATTAAAGGCAAACAATCTTTATGGCACCGTAGGCTAAAAAAGAATTTAATATTTCTCTACAAAGTGATATATGGGCTCTCCTTTCTAACCTCCTGCCCGACTATCACCCACGACCCAGTCTATAGACTTAGAAACAACACATATGCACTACTTACCGTAAAACACCAAAAACAAATGCGTTTTAAGTTTTTTACAGTACGGTATAGTTTATTGTGGAACAGGCTGCCAATGCTCATCCGTAACTGTGATACGTTTACCAGATTCAAAAAGCTAAGAACCCTATTTCTAGACTCTAAAGAGCTTCAACATTTCCTTGAACTCCCGCTCACCAATGAGGCACTTTATTACGGACCGCCTAGTATCTAGACAGAACAAGAATATAACTAGTCCGACTGTTATTAATATGAATATAACCTAATCACAGAATATATGGCTTATCCTTTCCTATTATTCATTGTTTATTAATCATGGCCTTATGCTCCTAACCCTCACTTTCAGTTCCCAAATCTCTACAGGTTGAATTTACATTATTCTTCCTAAAAGTCATGCCTTTTTTTCTACTGCAAGTAGACAGATAGCTCAATCTTATGGATGCTGATCTACTAAGGCCGATCATACAAAGCTCAAAATTTGGCCACAAAGTCTTGTGAGTTTCTCAATGTTTTATTTTTCTCACCCTGAAATCTTTCTTCTTTTCTACAATTTTATACCCTCTCATATCTTTTGATTTGCTATAAGTCCTTACTTCTTTAAACCATTAGTTATTTTCATAGCAGTGTGATATACTATGTGGACATCTAACGCATAAAACAGACTTTTCAACTATCTGATTTGCTTGTAACATGGACCTAGTAGAGACAGTGTATTCCAACTATGTGCTTTGATTAAAGCAGTAATCATACTTACAACAAACGTAAGAGAGCCTAACATCACAAAAGGAGGGAGGGTGGCGTTACTGACCAGCAAACATGATGGTGGGGAGATAACTACAATCCACCCATGTCTGTAGGGCAGAACATTTTGTTTAATTACGGCTCCTTATGGTTTAGTGGGATGTTACGAACTTAAGGTATTAATGCTGATTTATCATGCAAAATACCTCATTAAATCGTGTTACGAACGTTGAATTGGTTTCACTTCCTACTCAGTAATCCTATTACAAGCAAACTAGACAGTTCGATAATATACGAAGCCTACTCAAGACCCTAAGATACTTAAAAATAATAATACAAATAAAAGATGAAAAGGGCTCCAACAGCATCGATAGTAAAAAGAAGACAGCCAATTGTATATCACAATACTGTTTTTAGCACTATATTTTATGACCACACATAATCTCATACTTTCAGCTCCTTTCTGAGTCCCCTCCATTTGTCAGTTGTATGTCCACTCATACTTTGTTTACACTTATTTTCTTTAACCTATTAAAATGCTATTGCTTAACAAGTGCCTTAATAATTCAGGTCGACATGATGAGGAAATATCGACCAGCACATCATTAAAGCAACTGACTTCATACGTATGTATTGAGGATTCGTTTGAAGTTATCTGTTATCCCCAAATTTGCGTAGAGTGAGTGTGAGTAGTCTATAAAGCAATAAAATTGCGCTTATATTATGTGTTTAAATTTATCATATGCCTCCTGAAAATCATCCTGAAACAGGAAAAGTTCTCCAGCACCAGAGGTCTAATCCATTTACTTACATCAACCGAAATATTTCGTTAGTTAGAAGCTTGACCAAAAGACCTTGACATTTTCCTTCCAACGTAAATAAACAATCCCCAGAATTGCATATCAATGTATTTACTGATATTACGTTATTTTTGGAGGCTAATACGGTCTTCAAAAGAGCGTGAATAACGGCAGCTTTTTAGTGGATAATTATACAAAGACAAATGCAATATTTGTACTGAAAAAATTATATTTTCTAAGTTTACAGACGTCACTAGACTACTTAACTATGCAAAAACCACGAACTTATCCAAGATAACATATGCTCAATCAACCCCCAATATTTTAGAGACGGAATGCCGCCTTGAACAAAGCAACTCAAGGTCGTGGGGGCAGATTTGACTTGGAGGTTAGTCGCAAGCAAATTATATTTTCCCTGAAATTACTAAAGCCCTAGAACTTTCTACGTCTTAAAGCGTAAATCAGGTAACGTCCTCAAAATCCGATATATTCCAGATGTATCGAAATGATATTTTATGTTTATTTGCCAAGACTTCTATATCTGCTTGTTTTTATATACCTTGGTCCAAATTAATTTTAGATGCCTTCAGCTAAAGTCATCCACAATCACTCGAGGCTTTTTAAAAGCGACTAGTTTTCTCCAGATTTTAGGAAAATTTGAGGAAAGAACCCTAGACCAATTGGAGTATTGATGATTTCTTCAAATTCACTCGAGGTTTCAGAATAAAACCCCGAAATAAGCATAGTGCTCACCGATTGTCCGCTAGTATTGCAGCACTATTTGACAACCTTTAAAGTGTGAATTTCGGGACGCACAAGAGATGTTTCAATATGCCCTCTTAAAAGGCTAAGATGAGATCCATAGGTTTAATGTAACCTAAATTCACACAAATTTCTCTTGGGCGATGTCGCTTATATTTCCCTCAAGTTTACACTTATTGCGCCTTTCTTGTCTGGTTAATTGCCGTAAAACGTCTTCGGTGTTGGCAGCCTAGTACGTATTTTTTGACTTGGCTTTGATTCATACCTAGTATCAGGGCTAGTTTAACTAACTGTTTGAGTGAGCAATATGGATGAATCGAGGCTCAAACCTGCACTCATTGACCAATGCTTTTCTGTCTGACGGGTTACAGATGATGGTTCGAAATATTCTTACTCCAGTAGTGTCCCCTGATGTATGACTAACTACAGCCACGGTATATTCTTACACAAACAGAAAACTAACTAGTTGTGGGGCCAATTCAACTCCAATTTGGTGATAAATTTCTCATTTTAATGTGTGTATCGAGCGTTCGGCTCCACCTTCCACTTGTGGCATATAATCTTATCAACATGGAACAGAAATAGGTTCCGAACTTCAGAGGCGACGTGTACCCAAGAAACTCCCCTTCCACGGGAGATTGTCTTTTATTATCACCTTATATAGTATTGCATGACTTATGAATACTGTTGCATGTTAATCTGTAGTTTGTGAGGTTCCATAACAGTTTGTCCTTGTTGAAGTGAAATTTCAAGTGTCGGTTTACTGTACTATGTTGGAAAGTATGAGAGCAATCTAATGTAATTTATTTAAATGTTTGCTTGTTTAGCTATAAGCTACAACACATGTGGCATTTTGTCTAATGTCAGATTTCGGTTTTTAAGTGCTTGCCTAGTCCCCATTAACATAAAAGTTCTGTGACTACCATACATTTCTGGTAAGTTTTCCCAGTAACGATTCTGCTGAGGTTCTCAACATAATTGAAGTTAATGGTTTTATTATGATAGCATGATCATATGTTTTTGAATTTATGTTGGATAAGCTGTTCGAACTTTTCACTGGATTGATTGATAGTATATATTTCTGTCTCATGGAAAATAAACTCATATGGGATAGGGGTCATGGTAAGTAGACTATGTTTGTTTATGAAAATAACCGCAAAGTTGCATTTCTTGTCATGTGTGTTCAACTGTTTGTGCATTACAAAGTATTTACCTATAGTGTTTAATTATCACATAAAAATATGAAATTAATCTATACAGTTATTCAATAAAAGTGGATTACATCCTAAATGAAAGTGCTTATTTTGATTTTAGGATGAATGTATTGCAGATGGTTAAACAAATGGACACTCTTTCACCAAGAATCCAAGCCTTGCTAAAAGAAAGTAATTGTTTCAGGTGTAATGAAGACGCAAATAATGAATCTGCATTTTCTCGAGATGCTTTGAAGGCCAGACTGACTGACCTGGAATTCCGTGTAACACAAAATAAAGAAACGGAAAAGTATGCTTTATTGATTAATCTTATTGTTTTAGACCTTTTTCAGGGAAATATGTAAATGAGAAATCACCTGGAATATATAGATGTGTTGTTTGTAGTTCAAAACTGTTTAGCAGTGAAGCGAAATTCTTCTGTAGTTGTGGCTGGCCTACATTTAACAGTCCTATAGAGTGTAACTCATTGACCTCATCCATTGATTTGTCATCAGGTATGTACTAGGTAATTCATTTCATTTTTGTTTATCGAGACAACTTGTGTAATAGCCTATGTCAACACCTGAACTAAGGATAGGGAGTGAAGTAGTTGAACGTGTCGACAACTTCACTTTTCTGGGAAGTCTGATCAGCATTAATGGATTGTTGTCTGACGAAATCTCTGCGCGGATTCAGAAGGCTCGTTTGGCTTTTGCCAATTTACGTCACTTATGGCGAAAGCAAGATATCCGTCTATCAAATAAGGGACGAGTATACTGTGCGACAGTTCATTCCGTTCTACTTTACAGTGGCGAAACGTGGCCATTAAGAGTAGAAGATACTCGTATTTGATCACAGGTGACTTAGAAATATTGCTCGTATATCCTGGGATCACCGGGTAAGTAATAGTGAGGTTAGACGCAGGGTATTAGGGAATGATGGTATATCAGTTGATGAGGTTGTGAATCTTCATCGACTGAGATAGTTGGGCCACGTGTTACGTATGCCTGAACACCGATCACTACGATGACTAGCGTTAGAGGCGGCCAAACCAAAACGTGGAGTCATTGCTTGAAGATACTAACTTCTGGTCTTAGCCGTGTTGTTAGATGCATACTACTTGGTTGGGGTCTGCGTGACTATCGTAACCAATAGTTGGAGACTCTTGGTGATATGGCTCAGAACCGATCACAACCATGTACGTGTATACACTTTCTGTCTTCCTTTAACCTAAGAGAATAAAATCGCTTCTTATCTTACTTTCCACGAACTAATTCTTTCTCCCTGTATCATATCTTTATGTAAATCTTCCTTTTTTATATTACTGCCATTAAAGTAACTACTTCTATGAATTTGGTGTTCGTCTTGTCGTTCTAATGAAGTGTGGCAACTTAGATCGATGCATATATGTACCTGGCCCTACGTTATAGCTGACTGACTTCCATATCTAAGTTATTTTAAACATGGGAAACCGAACATCATCAGTACCCAAAGCATCCCAAAAAATATTGTTGACAATAAGTAGTAATTGAGCAAAATGTTCAAATGTTAAAGAAGTTCAAAAGTAATTATGTCTTCTTAATAGGGCTAAATTACAGGTTTTTAAAATTTTTGCGCCAACAAGTTTCGAAACGCTTACTGATTCTATTCTCAACAGACATACTAGGTCTAATAAAGTACTAAGAAACCTATTCTCACTTTATATTCTTACAATTATCCTAAACGAGTGGCATGGTTTTTTAGCATCATCACTGGCTCACCACTATTTCATCTGTAGTCCAGCGATCAATAAGTTGTTACGAACCTAAATTCATCTAATGTAGTTTGGTATAAGTTCGACACCTTGAGTCTTCACACAAATTGATGGATCATATTCTGTTTCGATTGTCATGTTTCAAAGTATAATAAGTATGATAAGTTTCTTATTTACTGTACCGGCCTTAGAATATTGATGAAAATTCATCCTGTTGCTTTCATGGAAGTATGTATATATATATGAAGGTACAACTATTTGATGGGCAAATTAGAATTTGTGTTCATAAGGTGTATTTCTATATTAAAATAGTTAACCTAATTACGCAACTTGTGTAATCTTGGTGTGTTCTCAAATATATAATTTGAATACCGACCACTAAATACATAATATTATCACAGACTTTCAAATATTTTAATAGTCAGATTTTGCTTTTCCTTGTCCTCTAAATCCCGTTTGTCTTAAATTCATTAAACTTTATATGGGTGCATAAGACTAATATTGTGTAGAGCAGCAAGACGGCTTCGTATTACAAAATTGGTGTTTCAAAATTCCTTAACTGACACTCGATCTTATAATTATACTTCATTGTGTATACAAATGATGTAATTAGTAACTCTTTTGACATATGTAGAAAAGCAGTGTGCGCTTTAACGCTGTGAGTTTTTCGATTTGTTCAGTATTCCTAATATTCAATAATAATTCATCACTTTTAATGGATTATACGAGACATTTTGGTTTTCGATTTATTTTTTAGGTGAAGTCCGTGTAGAAGTTTCTTGCAAGGGATGCAATGCTCATTTAGGACACGTGTTTGACGATGGCCCGAAACCTACAGGTCTTCGTTATTGCATTAATTCTTGTGCTCTAATTCTTGATTCTGATATTGGCAGCTCATCTGGTTTAAATTTGCCAACTGCTTGATATTTTGTTATTGTCAGATATAGTGATGTTAATTGTACGTAAGCTAGAATTATCCTAGTGTTGCATTTCTAATCTCATGCTTTTTCCCAAAGTCTTATGATAAAACTTTATGATGTTTTCTCACTTCCGTTTTACTTTTCTAATTTGTATTTCCTGTTTTTTATTTGAATTTATAAAAGTCGTTTTCTAATTTTTAAATTGCTTGTCTTTTAGTCTGAAATTCAAGTTACGCTGGGTGTTTAGGAAGGGCATTTTTCCCAATGGAATAAACATTTCTGTTTCATTGATAGTTAGAATCCTTTGTATTCATCGTTCCTTGTATTGTATATATGATAAAATTCGCCTTGTGCTTAACACATTTGCATGGGCTGCTTATACTCATTAAATGCAACCAGTCGAAAGTACCCACCATTTATCGCTATTTCTCATACCAATACCTGTTCACAAGCAGAATCTGTCCGTACAATATAAACAAGCATTTTTAAAATTGTTTTTGGGAATGACACCTCAGAATCAAGGCTTAACCAAATGAATTAGTTCTAAATGGGTTTTAAATTCCTTATTCTAAAATATAGAACATCACTAATCTACGTATAGTGCATTAGCTCTTTATCCACACTTGACATTTCTCCTCTTCCCGTTCAAAAATAAGCACAACACTAAGTTCCGTAAAATCGTTACCATCTCATATCAGGTTGAGATAGGTGACTTGCATAGAAAATATTTATGAGGTTGACCAGTTCAAATACAATTACTTTTTGCAATTTCTATCGATTCTAGGCGGCATATTTTTTCGTGTGTGGTTATTATTTGCTCAAATATTTTGGGGTGCTACCAAGTATTTGTATTTACATTCTCATGAAGTTTATTTGATACCAAACACCTTGTTTAGTAATTTCTGCGTCATTTGTATCGTGTTTTTTTTCGTAGAATATTACTTATACGCTTATCTTTTAGAATGTAAGACAAAAAATTCTCGTAACTGTACATTTTTACGATTTTTACCTCGTACTTCTAAATGTCGGAAGTAACTTCCTCTCTTGACAATTTGTTCTAAACATTTTAATTACTGGTCCGACGGTGAGTGATTAAATCCGGTTCCGAGTTTGTATCTTTCTGACTGTGTTTTTACGTATCGTTCAAGTTATTACATAGTGAATTGTACTGAATGTTCGCAGATAATATGGACACGGTTGCCAAATTTAGTGTTTATATAAGTTAGCCCGCACTGTATTTGTCAATCAATAAACTTCATTCAAATCTCAGGATTACTACGTATTTTTTCAATCAACCCATAGTTGCTTTCCTGATAGATTGTTAACGAGTACTGTCCTCAAGATATTACATAGTTTTGTTTAATCCCTGTACAGTTTTCACATGGTTATGAGTCATCTGTTTAATGAGGCCCCAGTAGTAATTGAATTCTTTTAGTTCCACTAGTTCATGTAACCGGTACTAAATCTCCTTTATCTCCACAAGTATATATTAGGAACTCGCAAGATCAGCCTGCAACACGTTACTTACCATTTTGTAAAAGTGAATATTGTAGTTTATTGAATTCATATTTACAAAAACATTTTAGCATGTATTGAGTACAGTTTATATAAATTAAACCCTTCTTTATAAACTTCGTTTCAAATTTGGTAATAGGGATAGTTTGTTAATAGATTTTTTGTTCACTACTCTTGTGATTGTGACATTTTTTGTTGGAACATTTTTAAGTATTTAACAGGATGATGTATACGTTAATGCATGACTTAACTCACATGAAGCGTTATATTTACATGATGCTATCCAGGTGTGTTAATCATACTAACCGCTGGAATTTTTAGTTATTCATTTTCATGCCTAACTAGAACTGCCCACGAGATCAATATAAGTGATACTCGGGCCGGAAAAAACTGCTTGGAAATTCAAACTACTTGTGAGTAGTTTAACGAGTTATCTTGGTTTCCTAATTCAGTTATTATTAAACACTAACTGCTCCAATATTCTCGGCTCGATAGGATAATTAAAAGTAGTCGAGTTGGGTTTAGTAGCTAGTAATCATAAAGACAGCGAAATTTTTACCCTAGTGCTCACGAAGGGACCAGTATTTAAGTTAGAGGATCCAGTGAGCACACACAAAGGTATCGTATTTCGAATCCGAATCAGGGGAAGAGAAATATACGGCGGAATTCCTAATTAGCACAAATAGAAAAAGCGATTAAACGAAAAGTGTCCTTTATTACTGGTGAAGCATTCTACAACTCCTTATTTGTAACTGCTGTTGAAGTGTAAAGTAACGACATGATGCCATTGATCTGCGTTGCCTGTTTATTGGCTTGATGGCTGTCATGCGGCCATAGTTTTAAGCCACCATATACTATCACTGACCCTTACATAAAAATCTGAGTCGAAGCTAGTCCGACTAATTTGTGCGTGTATAATTACGTTATCCTCGATACTAAGATACCACCGTCATGCTATTCGAGCAATCCCTAAATCCCCTCAGACGATCAAGTTCTTGAGCCATTCCAGTCTTGATGGGAGACAATGACGACCTTATTGCTACTTGTGTTTCTAATGCTTGTTTAATCTGGGAGAATTCTAGAGTTCCTGCAAAGTTTCAGTCACACTATGTTGCTGAGCGTCGACAATTATAAAACCCAGGTAAGTCACTTCCTGCAAATCATCTCTAAATAATGTAGTATTAAATGCAATGAATAATAGTATTTTAGTATTGAGACTTATGGGTAAAATAGTGTTCAGCCCATTTATTTCTTAGCAATATTCGTATCTATCATAACTAGGTAGAGAAGAAAAGTATTTATAGATAACATAATGTCTTCATGAAAAGTTCATCGTATGGAATGAAAACTAAATCGTTCTGTTATCAAAATGTAGTATGGGACTCCTGGTGGTGTAATTTAGTTCGGTTCAGGATCTCAATGAAACTTAACATTCTCCACAACCCCATACTTAAGAACATATTGCTATACTCCAATAGTTTTACAGTTGACGCATTATTCATTTAATCAATTTTTCGTTTTTCACTTTAAGCAATGCGCTGTGACATTGGTTATCTAGTATTTTGTGTAACATATCACTTGTATCTTTCTACGTGCTAGACATAAGTTCATATAAACACTGTTTTTACAATTATGATGTTTGAATATTTTAACAAATTTAGATACTAGTAACACTGATGCACTGTCCTAATTACTATGTGAAATAGTTTCATAATCTGTATAATGTTCACTTTTACACAGACTACAATTCAAAATCAAAATAACTTAGTATCTGTATGATTATTTTGAACCTTCAATCTTGTAGAATGTTACATAGAATGGTTAAGTTAGAAAAAGTGAAAACTTGTGTATCAGTCATAATATTTGCAGTCACTCATAAAACAGTATTTTAAATGCGTACTGGAAAAAGATAATTTACCAACGGGGAAAATGTACCATGATTGCGTTTTAAGGACTCTCATTTTAATAACACAGATTTCCTGTTTAGTTCTGTGCACTGATTTATTCATTTTTCGTAGCCTTTAAAATATTCTTGTTTGTTTTTTGGATGCCTTAGGCTTATTTCACGTCGGTATCACTTGAGTTCTATATTGCCGAATATATTTAGCTCTTCGATGCTTCTAATTTTTATTAACATGATCATAATATGTATATGAATACTACTGGTCACGAATATGAGCAGGAGAAAAACTTCACTAGTAGGTCATACAAGTTATCATCACGAATAGCTAACGTTAGAACACTTAACTAAAATTCTAGTATTATTTAATAGGCCTCAATCGTCTCACAATTTGTAAAAATGTACCAACTTTTAACTGCGGACATAAGCCAATCTATCTGACTAACAAGCAATGAGAAAGCTTAGTACTAATAATAGTAGTTTTTCAGTCTAAAGAATAAGGGATTGATTCCAAATACTTTAGTACACAGTCGGTGTTATGTTAAATATAAATTCTTGAAATACAATCAAAGTTTTTAAAATATTTTCATAAAAATAAAAAAACTAATTATGGTTTAAATGACCCAGTGAAGTATAACTTGGCTTCAGATATAAAATCAGCAGTTTCAGTTTTGAAACAAGCCAATATTCTCGTGTTAGTTAAAGAGTATATGAAAAGAATGGTGTTGTAGTTTCACAATTTATTTGTTTTAACGTCTTTTTATGAGGTCAAAGTGTCACCACTTAAACACAGAATATTACCAAGGTTTCCTCTGAAAAATTATTGATAAAAACCGTTTATTCGAGCAAGTGAGCTTGATAGAATTGTGTAGAAACCTATGAAAGTTAAGAAACTCAATGAGTTTCTGCATTATTCTGTCAAGCTTGTCGTTTATTTATTTAAGCATAAATATGAGTACAAGGATGCACCAAATAGATATGTACCACATAAATCATCCGATTTGTGTGAGCTGGGATACTACATTTGTACCCAAACCGAAGCAGGTGGTTTCCTTAGGGAGCCACACCCCGATCCTTTGACCTAAAGGTCTCATCCACAAGGCGGTGGAACAACGTCGGGAGATGCAGTCCCATGGTAGCCGGTAACCAACGATTCGTTCATACGCCATTTGCTCCTTCAGGATACTGGAGCCCATGTGCACCATTGGTTTCGAATCACGGTTTTCCAACCCCCGTAGATGGATCCTCCGTATCTACCAACTCGGTTAAAGCTCCGGAAATTCGCTTTTCGTTCTCTCAGTTTCGTAAACAACAGTGGTCCTGCGAGAAGTTAGTAAGTAGGACTTCCCTGACAGTGGTTGTGTGCGCGTGGCCATGTGAGAACATTTCGAGAGGGAGAGCTGACTCTCCCCACTCTCGGCCGTATCAGGGCATTTTGGGGCAAATAATTGTCTTTAACTTTTCTTCAGTTACACCTTGAGTTACTTTTGTTATTTAAGAAAACTATTTAGTTAAATCTTAATCGTATTCTAACATCAAAGAAAGCAGACAATATGTACTCCTAGACAAAATAAGTGATTGTAAAATAA